AAGAAGGCCAAAAATTGCAGTACAGTGGGCAAGGTACTTGCCAGCCAGGAGTAAGTCCTGAGCACAGCTGGATGTGGCGTAACCACACCTTACCTCCCCTCCCCCCCATGTGCCTTCCCCAAGAAGCATCTGATATAGAGATAAGAAAGAACAAATAAGACCTAACAGCAGTCACCTGATACTTGAAATCTGCCTAAATTACCTTTGTATGAGGTAGGTAAGACAAGTATCTGAACCATTTCAAGGGCATATGTAGTATGTTTTTTTTGTTTTTCTACTTAGTAATATTATTTTTCTTTATATACCTTGATAATTTTGGATATTGTTTAACATGTGCCAGAGATATGGCATGCTTCCCATTTCTTTGACTTTCCAGAAAATCTCCACATAGTTGGGTTTCTGATATTTTTCATGGAAGACTGAACACACAAATACCCATTTGTAAAGAAATCTTAGTTTTTAACGGACCCAATCAAGAGATTGCACATTGAAAGCTTTTGTGTGCAGCTATACACTTTTAATATTAGTCTTCTGATTAATATAGATTTCTTTTTTGTTTATATTTTAAGAAAAAGCCTTTATTTTGGAAAATATGGCAAAAATGTAAACAAAAATTCTGCTACATCATTCAAGGAAGCATTTTTAAGACAAGGCATTTTAACTATTTTAAAAATTGTTAAAATTACTTACAGTTTGAGATGTCATAACTATGGTGTTTTAATATAGATTTCTTAATGTTCATATTTTATTGCTTGATGTTAGAGCAGTTTTTCTTTCTACTTCATGGATGGCCAGTACTTTTGTTTAAGTACAACAGAAAAGATTCTGGGAATCATCTAGTGAGATTATGGAGGCTGACACAGGAAGTAGGGGGTTGTCTGGGTTATGTAGTCTCCTAAAATATGGGGGACAGGTTTCCCCCTGTAGTTTTGTACTAGTAGTATTGGTTTAGGAAGATCCAGTTCCTGCAGCTGGTAAGTGGGACTTACCTAGGCAGACAATGATAGTTAAGAGTCTTTAAAAGCTTGGTGGGTAGGCCTAATCTTCTTACCAACACCCCCCCCCCCCCCGCAAAAAAAGAGAAAAACAGAAGATTCTCATTCAACGTCTTTCAGAACAGAAATTGGCACTACTTGATTATTTAAAATTTTATAATGATGCACAGCTGCAAGATAGATGGAATTTATGTAGAAGCTCCTGGCTGTTAAATAATCTAATATATTTAAAAAACTGTCACAATATATTTTTTAAAAAGATTTATAATGGTCTTGAAATACCTGAAATGCCCATCCTTTTATAGATGTTTTAGTATGCAATTTGTTCTAAATGTCTAATCTTGAATGATTATATAATTTGCATACTGTTTTTTAGTGGCATGAATTAAGGGCTAATTGAAATATAATTTTTTGCAGTAAAATTATATCTTTTATGTAACACATTTAAAAATATTCTAGGCCAGTTCTAATTTTATAGTTTTATTATTTTGATTTAATGTACCAAATAATTAGTAATTGCTGCAAAGAAAGAAGATAAAAATGATTTTATTTCGTTTTTCCTCAGCAGAGTAAAAAGATGATTTGTAGAATAATGAAACAGAGCTGAGCACATTTCCTGGAACATTCATGAAATGTTCCTTAATTAATAAAGAATAATATTTAAGTATTTCTAGACTTTGGGAAAAGTACCCTTCTAAGTACTATATAAATTATGACAAGAATACTTTTCATCTTTACATTTGAAAGAATTTCATGCAGAGGTCACATAGGCCAATTTTTCTTAAAATATTAGGTTTCTGGTGATGCCTGACCCCTTCATCTCCTTTCACCTGCTTGCTTTCTCTTCCTTTCTCTTTGTGCTTAGAGTAAGTTCTCAGGTCTGAGTCACTTACACTTATAGAGAAAATTATAGAGAGAATTCTCTATAGTTGTTTGCATTTCTGTAGATCTCTAAGCAGCTGTCCAGACTGCACTTCGTTCTTGACTGTCTCTTTAATGATGTTCGTATAATCATGCTTAGTGAAGTCATTGAGAAGGAGCGAGATGGATATAGAATGATCTCTTTCATACGTGGAATATAAAAATTCATAATCTTGGAATAACAAATGACCCAAAGCTAAAGAATCTAAGATCTGGTCTACAGAGTGGAGTATACCAGAGCAGTGAGATGGGAGAGTGTGGTGGGGATGGTGAAGCGGGTGGGAGGGGATGACAAAGGGTGAGGGGGGTACCCTGTGACAACGGTGAAGGGAAATGGGCAACTATGGGAGTCGGTCTGGTATTGGAATGTTGTATAGATTAATTTCCTTCATTATTGTAAAACTGTAAATTATGGTGGCTTTGTTTGTATAGTTTGATATTTTTAATTTTTATTGAATCACAGTGATATACACATTTACAAAGTTGTTCACGATTCAATTTCAGTTATATCATGTTCCAATACCTGTCCCTTCACCACTGTACTTTTCTCACCACCAGTGGTCCTAGAGTCTCTCATGCCCCCCACCCCTTGTCTGCCACTATGCCAGGCACTTTTCTTCTCTCTCTCACTGTCTTTCTATGTCTCTCTTTCCTTTTGGGCCTTATGGTTTGCAATACTGATAATGAAAGGTTGTCAGGTATATCCCTTTACCTCTCTGAACTCTCAGTTCCTGTTCAAAATGATCATACCCACCTATTAGTCATGTTGGTCCCTTCTCTATCCTAATTTCCCTTTGCGCCCCCCCCCCCACTCTTGTGGCAAGATTCCAACCATTGACTAGTCCTCCTGGACCCTGTTTACCCTGGCCTTGGGTATTAATCTCATACAAAAAGATATACACACATACATTTCATATCCCACAAATGAATGCAGTCATTCTATACCTGTCTCTCTCCTTCTGAGTCATTTCACTCCTCAAGGTACTCTTCATGACCATCCATTTATAAGCAAATTTCATGACTTCATTCTTTCTAATGGCTGTGTAGTATTCTAGTGTGTAGATGTACCAGAGTTTCTTTATGTTCTTGGGAGCTCTGATTGTTTCCAGATTCTGGCTATTGTGAATAGTGCTGTGATGAGCATAGAAATGCAGATGATGTTTCTGCTCTGTGTCTTTGGGTGCCCAGTGTATACTCCCAGAAGAGGTAATGCTGGGTCAGATGGAAGCTCAATTCTAGTTTTTTGAGGAATGTTCATATTTTTTTTCTAAAATGGCTGGACCAGTCAGCATTCCCGCCAACAATGAAGGGGAAGTCTTTCTCCCCACATCTGTGCTAGCACTGGTTGCTCTTGTTCTTTTGAATGTGTGCTAGTCTCTGTGGCATGAGATGATACCTCATTTTTATTTTGATTCACATGTCCCTGATGATTAGTGTTGTAGAGTATTTTTTTATATGCCTTTTGACCATATGAATTTTTTCTTTAAGAAAGTTTGTTCATTTCCTCTCCCCATTTTTTGATGGGGTTGAATTTTTTTCATTTTAAAGTTCGACCAAGGTCCCATATAACTTTGACCTTTGACAAATGGGTATTGGGTAAATATTTTTTTTTATCTTAGACACTGTTTCTTTTGAGGAGCTTCTTGGTTTCATGTAGTTTCATTTGTTTATCTTTGCTTCCACTGAGCAAATAGCTTTGGAGACAAAGATAGTTCCTCAGGAACAAAGTACAGCCTTAGAATCAGTGAGCAGCAGTATCTTCCTCCAGTTCTGTCTAGTGGTGAGGATATTTTCCCCATCTGAGACAAAAAGCACCATCATACTCTTCTGTAATTACCGAAGTACTTGTCTCCAACTGAAGTGGCTCATGTCTTCTGCCAGCATCCATGAAATAATAAGTTTAGGATAACTTGTTAGCTTGCAAGTTGGGTAAAGCCTCAAACCCTAAATAAAATCTGACAAAAGGTTGCAGCAGTATTTGAGAAAGGTTCTGGTATGCTGTAGTGTCATTGCTATACTGGGCACAGAAAACTTTTTTACCTCCGGCTAGCAACCGTTTGGGATATAGCTATAGATTCTGAGTTTCAAGAGAAATGAATTTTGTCATAGAGTTGTAAGTAGAAGATGGGGAGAGATCCAGAAACCTTAGTCACACAATGGGCAAAACTATAAAGCCTTGGATAATCCTCATTTAGTGAGGGTATTTGGGTTGGAATAGAGGATATCTGTGAAGAAAGAGGAAGAAAGGGTTGGTAAAAGAAAGAAGTTTCCATCAAGCTTCAGAGTAACATAAAGTTATCTATGCTTATAGAAGCTTTAATTCACAACATTTTACCACCTACCATATTGAAGATTATTACCTTAATTTTTATTTTTTGTTTGTTTTTCGTCCACACTTGTTGGTGCTCAGGGGCAACTCCTAGTTCTGTACTCAGGAATTCCTCCTGGCAGGGCTCCAGGGACTGTATGGGATGTTGGGGATCTAACTCAGGTCAGCTGTATGTGAGGCAAGTGCCCCACTGAACTATCTCTCCAGCTCGTAGCTTAATTTTTTTGAAGCTAATTTTGTGAGCGCTCTCTTTGGGGGATTCCCCCCTTCCCCCACTTCCTTTTGTTGTTGTATGTTCCATAGGGTTCACACACTTAAATTTTATTGTTTTACCAGGTATTGTACACCATTGGTTGTAGTGCACTGGAGTTCACATACAGGTTGTGATGCTCGCACCCTTGTTATGGCACTGGGGCTGAGAGCATCTGGTACATTAGGTCACTCTGTGTTTTGTAGGCCTTACACCATCTTCCCTTCTGCACTCCTCTTTATGGTTTAAAATACTTCCCTAGTGCCACTTTGAAAACTCTAATAACCTGCACTACTGGTTATTCAGCCTGGCTGATAATCCATGAATTCTAGACTTCAAGAATTCTCAGCTCCCTCTGACACCCTCTGAGTTTGAATATACAAAAGGAACCAACATGGTGGCCACCTTCTGTTGTGGGAATCATTCAGGTTGTTCTGGAGGCGTGCAGTGAGCTCTTCCTTGTTTGCTGCAAAATAAATTAATTGTATTTTATTTTTTACCATAGGTATTTTTATCCGGCGTCATCGAATTGCTCTCCCGGCTCCTGATGATGATAAATGGTACACTGTGTATGATTTCAATATCGGCATAGACGTGGTCTTTTATGGCCGGACTTTCAAAATTTATGACTGTGATGGATTCACAAAAAACTTTTTGAGGAAAGTAGGAATTAAATTGAATCCCCCGAGAGAGTGTCCAAGAGATCCGTATATAAAGATGCGCAGAGAGGTGAGAAGTTGGTATGGCTATGACTTCTTGATTTCATATGGAGAATACCATAGCAGAGGCAGCAAAGGACATTGTTAATCCTGATGGAGAAGTGAAAGAACTTTGGGGGCCAGAGTCACTGGACTTGTCTTACTCTTCTCTGTGCTAGAGGGAAGACTGGGTATTGATATGGGGTCATAAATGTCTAACTCATGGGGCTGGAGCGATAGCACAGTGGGTAGGGTGTTTGCCTTGCATGCAGCTGACCCGGGTTCGATTCCCAGCATCCTATATGGTCCCCCCCCCCCCGAGCATCACCAGGAGTAATTCCTGAGTGCAGTGAGCCAGGAGTAACCCCTGTACATCGTCGGGTGTAATCCAAAAAGCAAAAAAAACAAAGTCTAACTCATTATCTGCACCCCACAGAGAATATCACTTTGGGCTGGAGGTGTCTGCAGTGAGTAATCTATATGGGACAGTGTTTAAGCGCCCACAATTGGCTTTTGTGATCAGGGACAGAATAAAAATTGAGCTTACACTTTACCCATTTTGAGCTTGCCTTTACCCATTTTGATTGCTGAACTCTAGGAAAAACCTTTTTGCTGAAGCAAGCCAGGGGGACACATTTATTATTCTTTTTCTTTTTTTTGCTTTTTGGGTCACACCTGGCGATGCACAGGGGTTACTCCTGGCTTTGCACTCAGGAGTTACTCCTGGCAGTGCTCAGGGGACCTTATGGGATGCTGGGAATCTAACCCGGGTTGGCCACATGCAAGGCAAATGCCCTACCTGCTGTGCAATTTCTCCAGCCCCGATTTTTATTCTTTCTAAGGATTATCAGCTGCTTTTTGGGTGGCTTCTAATGCAGAAATGTTCTTGAAGAGTGAGGAGGGCTGTATTTCTTGCCGCCAGCATGAAATGATACTTCTCTCCAAATTCTGGTCCCAGTTTGAGTAGAAAGGAAAGAAGAATCAGTGTTAGAAGTAGTATCTTTTCTTTCTAAAAATTAATTTTTAATGACCAAATTAATGTTTTTTTAAAATTTTTATTAGTGAAATACCATGAGGTACAGTTGTAGATTTACAATTTTTTGTGCTTGGGTTTCGATTATACAATGATCAAATACCCATCCTTCCACCAGTGCCCATTTTCCACCACCATGGATAATATCCCTCCCACCCCCATCCCCCCCATCCCACCCTGCCTCTGTGGCAGGGCATTCCCTTTTGTTCTCTCTCTACTTTTGGGAGTTGTGGTTTGCAAAAGAGGCATTGAGTGGCAAACATGTTCAATCCATAGTCTACTTTCAACATGCATCTCCCCTCCTGTGAGGATCCTCCAAACACCCGACCAAATTAATGTTTTACAAACGAAGTTGAACACCCAAAAGAGAAATGGCATATGGAATGTTACGTACCTAGCCAATCATCTTGCTGAGACTTAAACTCAATTTTTTAACTTCTTACACTGATCTTCCTTTCCCCCCTCCTCCTCCTCCTCTTTATCTTCTCCCTTATTTTTATCTTTCTGCTTTTCCCCTCCTCTTCTTTCTCCCTTTTCCCCTACTACTCTTTCTCATTCTCTTCTTTCTGCTCCTTTTCTTTCTCTTCCTCCTGCTCCTATTTTTCTCCTCTCCTCTTCTTTCTCTTCTTTGTCCTCCTCCTGTTTCTCTTTCTCCTCCTACTTACCCTTTTTCTTTTTTATTCCCTCTTCCTCTTCTTTTCTTCCTTCATTCTGGGGATCAAAGTTAGGGCCATTTACATGCAAGGAAAATATTCTACCACTGAGCCACATCCATGATTCAAATATTACTGTTCTGTTTTTGTTTCTTTTTGCCATGCTGGAGAGAGAACCCAGGGCTTAGCAAATATAAGGCATGTCCTCTACCACTGGACCTACCCTGATTTTTATTATTATCATTTTTTCTTTTTTCTTTATATTGAAGCATGGTTGCTTACAATAAAATAACTGTATCACTGTATCACTGTCATCCCATTGTTCATTGGGATGAACAGGCACCAATGTTCATCCCTCGAGCAGGCACCAGTAATGTCTCCATTCGTCCTAGCCCTGAGATTTTAGCAAGTGCCACATTGGAGGCTCATTCAGGGTCAAGGGAATGAGACGCATCATTGTTACTGGGTTTTGGCGTGTGGAATACTCCATGGGGAGCTTGCCAGACTCTGCCGGCTGGGCAGGATACTATCAGTAGCCTGCCGGGTTCTCTGAGAGTGAGAAGTAGACAATAAGAGGTTGCGCATCTGTGAATGCGGCCATGCGCTTCCAGGAGTATAGTCTCTGCGTCTTGGCCGTTGATGGGATTACACAGCGCCGGTGAAGTTGGTCGGTGTAATGCCTAGCTACTGAAAGATGGGGTATCTGGGTGGAGGAGGCCCAATTCTGATCTGAGCAGCCTTGGAGATCTCAGCCCCAGGTCCCACACACATGGGTTTCTCTGCCAGTTTCTTCATGCGCGAGGCTCGTCCGAGCATGTGGAGAGTGGTCTTAAGCATGGCTGTGTCTGGAGGGCTTCAGCTGTCCGGGCTCTGCTTGGGGCGGGGAAGGAAACTCAACCCCCACCAAAAAAAAAACACAGAAATTAAGTATTAAACATGTAGGAGCTGGAGTGATAGTATAGCAGGTAGGGCACTTGCCTTGCATGTGGCTGACTCAGATTTGATTGCCAATACCACATATGGTCCCCTAAATACCACCAGGAATGATCCTTGAGTGCCAAGGCAGGAATGAGGCCTGAGCACAGCTGAGTATCCCTCCCAAATAAAAAAAAGTTCAGTGGGTGATCTTAAATACACGTGCTTGTATCATACATAAAAATAGACTATTTCCACCACCCTCCTAGGAAATTCTCTCATGCTTTTGCAATCAAGCCTTCTCCCACCTAGGTATAGCTTGTGTTTTCCTTTCTATCCCTATTGGTATATTTTATCTCATTTTTATTGTTTCTAAACTTTATCATTTATTTTCTTACATAAAGGTGACATAAAGTATAGAATCAAATTCTTCCTAATCTCTTATTAGAAGCATGTGAAATAATTTCTTCGTCCCTGTCTTCTAACTCCAGCAGAATTATTCTTTAATGTTATATACCTATAATCTGCTGAGAAATACATATGGTTGATCTCAGAATATCTTAAATTCTTTTGATATTACACCTGTATGAATTGCTTGCTATGCAAGTAGATTTATGTTTTGGGTTAATTTTTACATTTATTTTATTATAGTTTATGTAACTTGGCTATAGTTGTGCCAATATTTATAGTGTTTATGTACAAAGTTTCTGTACTTATCTGCCACCAAAGTGCCTTAAGATCCTCCACCATTTTCTTTGTGTCATTTCTAGTTCAGTTTTTTATTCTCCCTTTTCCCCCACTACCTGGTAGTCTGAGTTTTGTAATCTGAGACCATGGGTTTGTCATTGATCGGTAGTGTCTGTTCTCTTGTTTTATTTTTATGTATACCACAGATGAGTGAGATCATCTGGTATTTGTTCTTCTCCCTCTGAGTTTTTTTGTTTAACATGATGCCCTCCAATTCCATAGCAAGTTGCAGTGAACTGCAAGATTTCATCCTTTTTATAGCTAAGTAGTATTCCATTTTGTGTGTGTGTATTTGTGTGTGTGTACCACAACTTCTTTATCAATTCATCTGTAATTATACAATTTTGTTGTTTCCATATCCTGTCTATAGAATTAAGTGGTGCTGCTATGAACATAGTTATGTATATTTTTTTCAAATTAATGTCTTTGTGTCTTGAGGGTAGATGACAAAAAGTGGGATTGCTGGATCTGATGGAAGCTTTGTTCTTACTTTACTGAAAAACTTCCATACTATCCTCCATAAAAGACTTACAAATTTCTGTTTTGGGGTTTCAGTTATAAAATCATCTAGTACCCATCCGTCCACCAAGGCCCATTTACCACCACCACGGGTCCCAGTATCCCTCCTACCACCCATCCGCCCTATCCCACCCTGCCTCTGTGGCAGGACATTCCCTTTTGTTCTCTCTCTCCTTTTGGGTGTTGTGGTTTTCAAAAGAGGCACTGAGTGGAAATCATGTTTGGTCTATAGTCTACTTTCAGCATGCTTCTCCCATACTGGGAGGACCTCCCAACACCCTTTATTTGGTGCTCCCTTCTCTATCTGAGCTCCCTTTTCCCCTAGCATGTGTGGCTGGCATCCAAGCCATGGAGCAAACCTCCTGGTACTAATCTCAGCCACTCTTGGGTGATAGACTCCTATTTTGTTACTTTGTGCTCCCGAGATGAATGCAATCTTTCTATGTCTATCCCTTTCTTTCTGACTCATTTCACATAACATGATACTTTCCATGTAGTACCACTTGTATGTCAATTTCATGACTTTATCTTTTCTAACAGCTACATAGTACTCCATTGTGTAGATGTACCAAAGTTTCTTTAACCAGTCATCTGTTCTTGGGCACTCAGGATTTTTCCCAGATTCTGGCTATTGTAAACAGTGCTGCAATGAACAAACAAGTGCAGATGTCACTTTGACTATACTTTTTTTGTCTTTGAGGGATATATTCCCAGGATTGGTATTACTGGGTCAAATGGGAGCTCAATTTCTAATTTTTTGAGAATCGTCCATACTCTTTTCCAAAATGACTGAACCAGTTGGCATTCTCACCAGCAGTGAAGGAGGGTCCCTGTAGTTTTCTTTCCTGTGGTGTATTTGTTTTCTTTTGGTATTAGAGTGATATGGGCTTCATAAAAACTGTTTGGGAGACTTCCTGTTTTTTTCAATTACCTGGAAAAGCTTGAGAAGAACTGGCAATAGGTCCTCTTTAAATGTTTGGAAAAATTCGCTAGGGAATCTATCTGGACCTGGGCTTTTGTTTTTGGGAAGACTTTTGATTACAGTTTCAATTTCCTTGATGATAATATGTCTATTCAGTTATTCTATATCTTCTTGATTCAGCTTTGTGACATTATAGGAATCCAGAAATTTATCCTTTACTTTTAGTTTCTCTTGTTTCGTGGCATCCAGACTTTCAAAGTAGTCTCTGTTGATGTTTCGAATTTCTTTGGTTTCTGTTGTGATATCCCCATTCTTATTTTTTATTCGATTTATTAGAGTTCTCTCTCTGTTTCTTTGTGAGAGTTGGTAGTGTTTTATCTATCTTATTTATTTTCTCAAAGAACCAGCTCTTGGTTTCATTGATCTTTCAGATTGTTTCTTTGGTTTCCATGTAGTTGATTTCTGATCTAAGTTTTATGATCTGTTTCCTACTGCCTGATTTGGGCTCCTTTTGTTGATCGTTTTCTAAAATCTTGAGCTGTGAAGTCACGTTGTTTATGTGCATCCTTTCTTCCGTCCTGAGAAATGCTTGCAGAACTATAAATTTTCCCCTTAATACGGCTTTAGCTGCATCCCCTAAGTTCTGGTAGCTTGTGCCTTCATTCTCATTTGTTTCCAAGAATCTTTTGATTTCGTCCTTGACTTCCTTCCTGACCCACTCGTTGTTCAGCATTGAGTTGTTTAATTTCCAGGTGTTTGGTTTGGTTCTCCGTGTCTTTGTGTGATTTACTTCTATCCTCAGTGTATCATGGTCTGAAAAGATTGTTGATACTATTTCTATTTTCCTGATTCTGTTGAGATGTTTTGCGGCCTAGAACATGGTCTATTTTGAAAAATGTTCCATGCGCACTGGAGAAGAATGTGTATTCTTTCTTTTGGGGGTGTAAAGCCCTGTATAGGTCTATAAACACTTTCTCTTCTATTTCTTCTTTTAAAGCTAATGTTTCCTTGCTGAGTTTTGTTCTTGTTGATCTCTGCAGAAGTGATAAGGCGATGTTGAAGTCTCCAGCTACTATTATGTTGCTAGCAATGTCCTCCTTAAGATCTATTAGCAGTTGTTTTAAATATTTAGCTGTTCCCTCATTAGGTGCGTGTACATTTAAAAATGTGATTTCTGCCTTTTGTAGGTATGCCTTGATGAAGAGAAAATAGCCTTTGCTGTTCCTTCTAATCTTTTTCAACCTAAAGTTAATGTTATCGGATACTAGTATGGCCACCACAGCTTTTTTGAGGGAGCTGTTTGCTTGCCGGATTGTTTCCATTCCTTTCACTTTGAGTCTGTGTTTGCTCTGACTGTTGAGATGAGTTTCTTGTAGGCAGCAGAATGTTGGGTTTAGTCTCTTAATCCATTTTGCCACTTCTGTGTCTCTTACTTGGTGAATTTAGAATGTTGACGTTGAGAGAAATTATTGTTATGGGTTTTTTTGTCATCTTTCTGTTTACGCTCTGTTGTGCTCGTAGGGTTTGTCTTGTCTTATAGTAGCCCCTTTCGTGCTTCTTTTAGGTTAGGTTTTGAGTCTATTAAGTTCCTGAACTACTATTTATCTATAAAATAGTGTATGGTTCCTTCGATTTTGAGTGAGAGTTTAGCTGGATAGAGTATTCTTGGTGAAGCATTCATTTCAGTGAGATTTTTCACTATATCTCGCCACTGCCTTCGGGCTTGGAGGGTTTCCTCTGATAGGTCTGCTGTGAATCTAAGGGGTACTCCTTTGTATGTGATTTCTTACTCTGTCCTTGCTGCTTGCAGTATTGTGTCTCTATTGGCAGCATCCATCATTCTAACTATGATATGTCTTGGAGTGTTTTGTTAGGGTCTCTCTCTTTTATCTGGCACCCTTCAGGCTCCTTGAACCTGAATGGCTGCATTGTGGAGCTCTGGGAATTTTTCAGCGATGATTTGTTTGTCCATGGCTTTTCCATTGGGATTGTTTCCCTGAGCTTCTGGTATTCCAATGATTATAATGTTGTTCCTCTTGGAATCATCTCCTAGGACTATGATTCTCTCTAGAGCTATTTTGAGGTCTCTAGCCATTAATTGTTGTTGCCTATTGGCTTGGTGCAGCTGATCTTCCAGCTCACTGATTCTCTCTTCAGCTGTGGTCATTCTACTGTTGAGGGCACAGACTGAGTTTTTCATTTCATCTATGGAATCTTTTATTTGTGATGTTTCTGCTCTCATTTCTTCCCGCAATTTGTAGATATTTTTTCTGTCATGTTTTTGGATATCTGACTGTTTCATTGAGTTGATTGAACATCTTCATGACTTCATATCTAAATTCTTTGTCAGATAGGCCCCTTAGGTGAAAAGTATCTACAGAGGCTTCTGGATTCTTTTCGTTGTCCTCCCCATGTGGTGGGGATTTGCGCTGGTTCTTCATGTTGGTGTGTAGGTATGTGGACTAGGTTCCTTGGTATGGCTAAACTACCTTGGGCTGCGTGAGCGTTGGCCCGCCTAATATTAGGGCACGCCCACTTCTACCGAAGCCACACCCACTTTTGAAAAGGCCATGCCCCTACAGGTGCCTGGTTTGTGTGGGGGGGTAGTAAAGATTGGGTGTAGGAGAAGACCAGCACAGCTTGGGGGACGAAGAGGAAGAGGCAGAGGCTCAGGGCTGCTTTTCTCCCAGAGTCCTGTAGGACGCCTGAGGGGCTTGCAAGGAAGAAATTCAAGTCCCAGGTTTGAGTACTGGTGGAAGAACTGACCTCGGTTTGGGAGAAGATCAGCATAGCTTGGGGGACAAATAGAAAGAGGCCTTTTTGCATTGAAATTCTTAACAAAGCATCACAGAACAGTTTGTGGAAATGTCCTCTCTGTCTTGGTGTCTCTCTCTCTCCTTCTCTCTCTCTCTCTCTCTCTCCTTGTGGTGCTGGAGATTTATTTCATAATTTCACACATGTATGTCTCTGCTACTGAGGGACAGCACTGGCCCCAGAAAAGCTACCTGTAGGTTCTTGGTAGCTTGTATCTCAGGAGTGACTATGAAACAAACAGACAAATACTCCAAAACCCAAACAAACAGAAGATACTAATGTTTTTTGTCTTTTTCTCCATTGACAGCAATTAGAATGTATGGAGCCTTTACGACCTTATGAGCCCCATGACACCCTGAGAAGTTTCCTTGAGTATGATAAGAAGGTTTTGCGTTTCTACTGCCTGTGGGATGATACACCTTCATTCTTTGGGGACCGTAGAAAACTTGTCCTGCATTACTATTTGTGTGATGGTACTATCGACATCAAAGAATTGCAGCCACAAAACTCTGGCCGGTATCCTACATCGCGTTTCCTCCGTAGGGGAAAGCTGCCAAAGGTAAGGTGTGGATCCAGAACCACAGTTCAACTTTGTTTGTGGGTTTCAAGAATCTAGTCACTCACCATGGAATGTTGTGTGTGATCCCTTCATCAGACAGTTCTCCTATATTAGTTAAGGTGTTGAGGAAAGCATTTCATTTTATGGACTCCGTTATTATACATCTATGAAAACAGTACAGAGTATTACTTATCATAACAAGTTGGAGCTGGGATATTCTTAGCTTACGGCAGATAAGTGAAAACATCAAATGCTAGAGGAAGTACCAATTCTTCATAGGGTTCAAATTGTATCTTATGAAGGTAAGTGGTTTTAGTAGGAATTGCTCAGAGCCTTGGACAGGACACTAGTCTCTCACCACATACAAGCAACAAAGTTGATCATGGTTTCGGTTGTATCTGCACACATGCACATACAGAGAGTCATGGACATATGCACCTGCACATCCAGAGGTCAATGCACAGCAGTGATTCTTCTGAAAGTAGCAGCAAGACTCCAGTCAGTCACTGACTGGTGTCAGTAGGTGGCTTTAAAAATGCTTTTCTAGAGAGACAGGAGGGGAGGGGAGGGAGGAGAGGAGAGAGAGATGCCTGCCAAAGAGACAGGCGGAGAGGGGGGTGGTTTGGGTGGGTGGGGGGACTGGGGACATTGGTGTTGGGAAATTACACTGATGGAGTGATGGATTTTGAAACATTATATAACTAAGACTCAATCTTGGACAGCTTCATAACATTCTATTACGGTGATTCAATAAAATAAAAAAATTAAATGCTTTTTTATTGTAGTTTTGATGACATGGTTACAATAGCATTTATGTTGATGGTTTTGATGTTCAAAGTTACTATACTTTTACCACCACCAAAGTGCTTAAGGCCTGTCCAATGGAAAGTTTGTATTTTATTTACCATTAAATAAAGCTTCCAAGCTAAACTCTGTACATATTTGTGGCCATTTGTAAATTTGGCACAGTTTAATTTTTGGGTGCTGCCAAAATTGCACAGTGAAGGCCTGGCTTCAAATGATAGGTCTTCCGCTTAATAGCTCTGTGACCTTGGGAAAGTCACTTAACCTCCCTGAATCTATTTCCTTATCTCTATAATGCAGTTAACGAGGTCTTGCTCTGAGATAACTGTAGATTGAATGAGCTAAGAGAGTGAAAACACCATCTGAGGAGCTATTAATACCCCCAAAGACACATAAAAACATAAAGGTTTTGCCGCCTTATGATATATTTTCCATGTATAAAGTATTTTAAAATTTTTTATTGAGGCACTATATTTGACAGGATGTTAGTGATTTTCATGCATATGATGTTTCAACACCACATCTACCACTGGAATATCTCCTTCTCTACATCAGTGTCCCAAAGTCTCCTTCTGTCATCCTGCCCCCCCCCCCCGTCACCCTCTTTGGGGCTCATTCAGAAGGAAAGGGACAGATATAGGATGATCTCTAATATGTGGGATATGAAGAAACATAGTAAAGGTATAACAAATGCCAAAGACCAAAGAACCTGAGAACTGGTCTACACTGTATCACTGTCTTCCAGTTGTTCATTGATTGCCTTGAGCAGGCCCTAGTAACGTCTCCTTCGTCCTAGCTGTGAGATTTAAAAAAGTTCCACATTCGAGGCTCTTTCAGGGTCAAGAGAATGAGACCCATCATTATTGCTGGTTTTTGGCATATTGAATACACCACAGGGAATTTGCCAGATTCTGCCATGTGGGCAGGATACTTTTGGTAGCCTGCCAGATTCTCCAGAGTAAGGACTGGATGATAAGATGTCGCACGGGCTTCCGGGAGCAGGGTTTTATAGTCTCTGGGTCTTGGCTGTTGATGGGATTACACGGCGCCGGGGGCAGTTGGTGGGTGTAATGCCTACATACTGGAAGATGGGGATCTGGATGGCGGAGGCCCCAGTCCCAATCCGAACAGGCTTGGAGATCTACACCCCAGGTCCCGCATACCTGGGTTCCTTCCTCAGCTGATTCCTTCATGCGTGAGGCTTGTTCGAACGTGTGGAGAGTGGTCTTAAGGATGACTGTGGCTGGAACCAGGGGTGTTCAGCTGCTGGGGCTCTGCTCAGGGTGGAGAGGGAAATTCAACCCATCCTCCTCCAAGGGGCCCCTGTGAGGACAGCCAGGTGCAGAGGCAGGAGACTCTGTGCTGTTCTCTTCCATGAGCAGGGTTTTATAGTCTCTGGGTCTTGGCCATTGATGGGATTACACGGGATTACAGAACTGGGATAAAGTATTTTTAAAAAACTTAATTCTCAGTGCTGCTAAAAGTGTTGCTACAACAATCATTTCTTTCCCTTTTTTAACTATGGATTTGTATTTTATTTTCTCAAGTTATTTGGATTTTTTAAAAAAAATTTTATTAGTGAATCACCATTGGGTACAGTTACAGATTTACAAACTTCTGTGCTTGTGTTGTAGTCATACAATGATTGAGTACCCATCACTCTACCAGGTCTTCCTCAGTTTTTGTAGTTAGTGAAGAGAAAGGATACCTACTATTGAAGCAATTAGAGAATCATACTACTTTATCATTTGATGGGTTTGCTGAAGTCTGGAATGGGAATCCAGTAGGATGGAGGGGTCAAGTGGAAAGATATAACTATATTAGGACCTTGAAGGATTTCAGACCAGCTTGCAACGTCGGAGGCTACATAAGGAGAGAGGGTTACAGTCTGTGTCTTATCTTCCTCTGGATAGCCAAGAAGAACCATACAATGCATTATTCCCACTTAAATCCCTCCACACACAGTGTATTTAGAGGGCATCTATCACATTTTTTTAAATTTTTGAAATTTTTTTTTCTTTCAGTATGGCCCACCTGGAATATATGAGCCTGGCCAAATAACAGCACAAACAGTTCTCAATGTGTATGGAGGCTACTCAGTGACCCGAGAATATGGCTTCCTGTTGGATAAATATAAGGTGAGGAACCTCACATTTTATTACTGTTTCCAATGTGATTTTCCTGACATCTGAATGTGAGGTAAGTTATATATTACTCTCTTGTGAGACTGATTGTGAATGAAATCTCTCAGCATACAAATATATGCATTGTACTTCTGTTTAGCAATAATAAACAAGTGCATATATATATATACCTATATATGCATTCCATTATTATTTGCAAATATTGTATTGTTAAAAATGTTTGATGTGGTTAATATTGACCATATTTTGATTTTTAAATTTGATTTTAAATAATTAGTGTCGATTTTAAAAATAATTTATATTTTTCCTTTGCGAAGGGGTACTTCAGACTTTGAAGGGTTTGTGTTACTAATGCTGTGTTCCTTTGTTTTTATTAGCCAGAAAAATTACATCAAGAATTTTACAAAGATACAGACCTATTATTAGGAGCCAAAATTGATGTGTGGGGAAGGAAAGTGCTTCTTTGTAACTGTGATGAATTTACAAAACTTTATTATTTGACTAAATATGGAATTGGTAAGTCAACCATATGTCATTTTGAAAACTTAGACTCTTTGTAACTTACTTAAGAATTGGCTTTCTGACAGGCATTGCCTTATTTATTCCTACCAGAAAGATAGTCTCATTATCCCTATTTTATTTTTACTTTACGGTGAGAAATTCCTTTACAATTTATTCAGTAAAAATATCTTTTGATATCTGCATTTTGTAGTTGGAAAGGTAGCAAAGCAGATCATCTTTAAGCTTGAGTATTCAAGCAAAACCTTAACAAAAAACATGAAATAAAAAGACAAAGTGACCAGGAAGGGAATAGCTACCACAAAGCTATAGCATATGGTAATACATGCCTTCAGTGAATACAGATTATAGTAATAAATGTATTCCTTGAATTTCTGCTTCGTGGTCAGAAACTGCTCAATTAAACAATTAATACAATCTGATTATGAAGTTGCTTGGCTTCTTGTTGCTCCTCTTAAATCTCTTAAGCAGTGCAATTTGAAACAAATTTAGACTTAATATCACTCTCAAATTACTTACAATATAAGGGTTATTCACCAGAGGTTGTGAACATATTCCATAATTAATCATATTTACCAATTAAGGAACAAAATTAAATTGTCTAAGCCTTTGTCACTAATTAATAAAACAGATTTGAATATATTTATTAATAAAACAGATCTTGAATATATTTATATTATGAACCACTGGGCTGGAGCGATAGCACAGCGGTAGGGCATTTGCCTTGCACGCAGCCAACATGGCCGACCCAAGTTCAATTCCTCCGCCCCTCTTGGAGAGCCCGGCAAGCTACCGAGAGTATCTCGCCCTCACGGCAGAGCCTGGCAAGTTCCCCGTGACGTATTCGATATGCCAGACACAGTAACAACAAAGTCTCCAATGGAGACGTTACTGGGCCCGCTCGAGCAAATCGATGATCAACGGGAGGGCCTTTTATGAACCACTGGGTATGGCCCCCAAACAAAAATGTGTAGATTGTAAACAATGTATAGAATAGTAAATGCATATATTGAGGGACAGTTGGCAAGAATCGGGTTATTACCACTGATACAGAGTACTGTGCCCCAACACAGAGAATTGGTTGTTCAAGAAACCAGTATTAAAAATGTGAAAGAGGACACAATCCTAGGAAGCAAAGTTTTTAACATGCCAAATTTAACAGTTAATTTAACTGTGATCTTGGCGTAGCGTGCAAAATATACCTTTTGCTTTTAGCTCTGTTTTTGTGCTCCCTATTTTATCTCATTAAATTTTTTTTTATTGAATCACTGTGTGATAGATGCTTACAAAGCTGTTTATGATTAGTTTTCAGTCATACAGTGTTCCAACACCCACCTCTTCACCAGTGTACATTTCCTAGCAGCAGTGTCCCCCAGTTTCCCTCCCATCACTGCCCCCTGTTCTTTTCATATGTCTTCACTTTGAGTTTTTATCCAATTTCAAATCTCTATCTCTACTTATTTTTCCACATATTCCTGGATCATGACTGTGATAACTGTACCATCGTCACTCTTTGTGTTTCTCTTCTCTGCTCTTTTTGTCACTCTTTTCAAGTGGTGTGAAATATATATCTGACAATTTTTTTTACCCATCATGAGTGGCCTATCTCATTGATGTTGGTATTGCCTACTCACTATGATGTGTTTCTGATATCTGGATGTTTTTAATGTGGTAAAAATTTTCTGATCCAGTATACTGGATATACAGTATACAGTATATCCAGTATATAGTTATGGAAGGAAATGCATTGTGATCAGCCTGTCAGGTGAACAACAAGGAGGCTAGGGAGCCATGGCCATCAGCTACATTTTATAGGTCAAGAAACTGATGTTTTAAAGGGACTAATTTGTTGAAGGTCATAGAAGAAAAAATTGTGAGCCAATACTTGTGCTTGTCTGCCTGTTGCCAAAGATGTCCATTTTCTCTTAGAGTCATCTTCCTTACCACCAAATGTCAGGGCTACATATTCTGAATCAGGGACTGAAATGAAATTTGAAATGCTTTCCTTTTAATTGATTTCTTGCTTACTGTTGATAGGTCTTATCATGGTTTTCAAGAGAATTTTGTCATGCGGGTTTGCTCTGCCTTTCCTGGTGAGGCTCAGCTATCCTTCCAGTGTCTCTTTTCTTATATACCAATTCCATTTAGAAAAGGAATGAAAAGTTCAGAATGAAAAGCAGGGATAAATTAAATACCTACTATGTACAGGCCATTGCAGTAGACTTCAGAGCTAGAGATTGGCGAGGAGTTTCTAGGCTGAAAGGGGAGCAGAGACCATAGCATGCTACAGTCTTATGTGACACAGGTGGAGAATCTGGTATGAAACATGAAAAACAAACCCCCCATTTGTTCAGACTGCCTGCTTGACTTCTCGGGCCCTCTACTCCAGGCTCCACACACTTGTTACTATTTATCTTAGTGAAGGTGATAGAAGATGCGAACTTTCAGGTTGGCATTTGAAGCTGGGTTGGGTTTGCTCCTTCAAGCACATGTTCTCCCTTGAACAAATATCTCACTTGCTTGTCTCTATGTCTCTTTTGCTTCTTTTTACACTCTTGGAGCAGCCCATGTTCTCTCTTGAGCACATACTTCCTCACTTTCTCTCCCCTCACATCTTTCTAAGTAAGATTGTTCAATAAGAACAATCTTGCTTCAAAAAATGAAAATAAAATACAAAGCTGGGTTGTGAGGTGTTGTTTGCTCCTTCACTCCTCTCTGAACCTTGAAATAGCCCCAAGAGTGCATTTCCCCAAGTGATAAGATGGAAGAGCCTGGCAAGCTAATGAAAGTATCCCGCCCCCACGGGCAGAGCCTGGCAAGCTCCCCGTGGCATATTCGATATGCCAAATATAGTAACAACAACAGGTCTCATTTCCCTGACCCTGAAAGAGTCTCCAATCATTGGGAAAAGACGAGGAGGAAGAGGCTGCTAAAATCTCAGGGCTGGGAGGAATAGAGACGTTACTGGCACCCATTCAAGTAATTCGACAATCAGCGGGGTGACAGTGATACAGTGATAAGACAAGTCAGATGCAACCCAGGCATCTTTAATTACAAGGGTCTCTAGAATGAGACAAGGCCCAGTTTGTTACTTGGTCTTCCCATTGTGCAATATTCCTGGCCTCCTGGGAATCTTGATATTGCAGAAGAAGGCACACGGAGCACACAAAGGGGTTGGAATAAAGGGGACTTTCAATTTCACTCTTCTGTTCTTTAAGGAAATTTGTTCCACTGGCTCTCCATGCCAGATTGGTCAAAATGTGCATCTGTGTGGCCAAAACTTGGTGGTCTTTTATTTTGTTTTCTAAAATTGTTCTTTTTTTTAGTAGGTACACAAACACATTGTGTTTGTAGGGCACATTTGTTTCATTTATGTTAGAGACTAATCAGCAAGAGACAGCCAGGAATGTGCTTATAGTGGATGCTGTGGAGAAATTTTGGGGAAATGAAAACTTGGTCTTTAAATACTATAGATGCCTACTTAGCATCAACAATATTCAATGTCCGCCTCAAATTTTGGAAAAGCGTGTTATATGTATGCATACATATATTTGTGTATGTGTGTGTATATATATAGTGTTCTTTTGTTGTGCTGAAAGTTTAATTTAAGGTTTACTTGTATTGTCCTGGAAGTTTAATTTCACATGGCAGATATGTGGTGATTTAAAAACATCATATCATCCCCATGCCTATTTTTGGTTTTAGGCCACACCCAGCACTGCTTAGGGCTTACTACTGACTCTGTGCTCAGGAATCACTCATGGCAGGGACTGGGGAGGGGGGGCCCATATGAAGTGCTGGAGATCAAACCTAGTTGGTCAGCCATATGTAAAATAGTACCCTACCTACTGTATGTACTGTTTCAGCCCATTTCCCTTAAACATAAAATTTGCTTTATTTTGAAGAATGTAAAGGTTGCGTTTGGAAAGATGAATATATTACTGGAGAGACATCATATAAGCCTCTCAATAGGTTTACAAGAAACCTTCAGAGGGGTGCAGTAATTTACTGCACTCCAAATAGCTGTCATGGGCAAATGTATCAGCTTCAAATGCCCTATGAGCCATTTCACTTGAGCCCTTGTACTTGATCCCCTGAGCACCGCCAGGAGTAACTCCTGAGTACAGAGCCAGGAGTAATCCCTGTGCATTGCCGGGTGAAACCCAAAAAAGCAAAAAAAAAATAGATAATTTTATTGTGTTCATAAGAGCACTTTATGCCTTTAAAGCTGATGAGTGTTACGTATTTGAATAAAATTATGCAAATGCAAAATTTTGATGCATTTTATAGTCACACTGACTTTTTATAGTTCTCATAACATATGTTATAACGTCCCATTTAACAGACACTATTATTATACAACATTTTTTGAGTAATAACAATGCACTTAATGTAACTAATGATTAGAAATTATATTCATGATCAGGGAAATAGAGTGAGCCAATACTCTCAATCTTTATATTTGCTTTTCACGAAGTTTTGTTAAGATTAAACTAATATGTTTAAATGTTACCTAGATGCAGTTTTGTCTGATAATTAGAGTTTTGTTTATAATTTATCTGTTCCTAAAAATTCTTAGCACAGACCTTATGTTTTGATATTCTGAAGCATGAACTAGAACTAAGTTCTGCTAATTGTAGTCACATTTCCTCTCTTGCCAATTATTGTGCTCAATAGAATACCTGGTGTCTTCACCTGCAGCACCTCAGGAAGGAGCTGACAAATACCAACAACACAGCTAGGAACTTCCCTAAGCAGTGATTCAGGAAGAGATTTCTAATTGTAGCCTTGGTGTTTTGTACATTCTTCTACCTAATGAAAACTTAATGGCTATTGGGAGGTTTAAAATGGCAGAGAGACCAAGAGAAGTTTTCTATAGTTCCAAGAAAGGTACTTGGGTAAACTCTCAAGTTATATAAAAGTGGAGGGTTTGAAAGAATTTGGAGATATTTAAACCCTGTGACTCCTAAAAAAATGAGGTTCTTTGGGGACATTCAAGGACTCTAAGAAGGCAATTCCGTAGACCTTTCTCACATAATAGTCCAGTGTGATTTCCTTACCAGGAAGATTGATCATCCCGCTGACCATGGCTTGCCTGCCAGGCCAATTTATTCATTATTTTATTTGAATAAACACAACCTGGCAAATAGAGGCCTGGACTTGACTATAGCATGAAGGTCGGAAGACTCTAGGGTCTCCAGCAAGTGTTTCTTTCTCTGTAGACAGGGCTTTGTACATAAATTATTCTTCCCTAGAATTCCTTCCTTCTTTTATTATTTGTTTGTTCATACATAAGAAGACTTTATTTTCACTGGTTCTTAGTGTCTGGAACAACCAAACTAGTAACAAGACCACTGATTCCCATTGTTTTCGAATACTTCCTAATTTATACTGATATTAAGGCTGAACAAAAATCTCAAATCTCCTTTAGTTTTATGGAGTCATTTCTCCCCATCTCTGAACTTTTGGCACTAGAGGCAGCATACAGGATGAGAGTATAATGATTATTGGTGATCTCAAGTTACAGAAATTGGTAGAATTTGCTCAGATCTCACCACATGATCTTGATGGACCTAATAACATTTGCTACTTTTACTTCCACTATGGAGGGAAGAAGTTTGAGGATAAGTGATTTCTAAGGAATTTCTGGCAAGAAAATTATGAGATTCACTAATATGACCCTAAAATGAATTCTCCACGAAAATCATTTGCATTGGTTACAAGCAGAGGTAGAATCACTTTGAAGTTAGTGAAACTCTAGGTTTCTTTGTTCCAGGAGCCTCAGTCCAAGGCCCTGGGTCAGTTTTTCTATAATTTGGCCTTCTGTATCTTAAAGAGTTTCTCCTAAATCAAATAAACTTCATACCTCCCCAAACTTGGATTCCTAGAACATACGTTAAGATAACCTTTGAAATAACCAAAGACTTCATAGTAATGTTTCCAACTAAGATGGTAAATAATAAATCACTGTGGGGGATTAAGCTTACATTTTCCCAAATGTTTCACTTCTCTCTCAGTTTGTTGGAATGTAATCATGGCTAAGTATTCAATATGTGTGTGATGTTTTGTTTGTTTTGGGGTGAGGTGGGGGCTACTCCTAAGAAGTGCTTAATTAGTTTGTAGCCCCTCCTAACAATTATTGACCAACCATACTGGAGGTGCAATGTGAAAGCCTGAGGATGTAGTACTGCTCAGCACTAGCAGCTGTTGGAATTGTGGAGGTGTTGGAGATTTCCTGGACCACCCTGACAGTGCAGGGGACTTCCAGGCAGCACTGAACAGCGGGCAGGGGACAATGTGTTGTGATGAATGAACTGCAGTCAGCAACATGCTCTTTGGCTTTTTGATAAGTATGTTTATGTAAGCTACTTGGAATTAGAGGAATCTGAACATTTGAAGCACAGATATATCTCAGGATCTATCAGTTAAGTGATATTTGGGAAGAGGCTTTGTATAGAATCTTAGATTTTTTTCATATAGTCAACAAGTCATTTTTTAAAAAATTTTATTAGTGAAACACCATGAGGTACAGTTGTAGTCTTAGAAATCTTTGTGCTTGGGTTTCAATTGTATCATTGTATAATGGTCAAGTATCAAGAAGTCATTTTAACACCTAAGTCATGCTGGATGTTGGATAATAGAAAAACCAAAGAGCAAGGAACTTGTCAATTAGATTCGAGTTGAAAACTTTATAAATGTAAGCAGTTACCCAGAGAAATGAGATCTTGACTCAGAACCCCAAAGAGAGGTACGTGGTGTTAGAAGTCAGGCAGTAGAGTGGAAAAGTTCCGGGCTTTTATACACTAGATGGCACTGTGGGTGCAGAGGAACGCCCTAAACTGGTTCTTTTGTTACTTCAATCTGTTGCAAAATAATGTGGTTGAGAAAATACTATGTTATAAAATCTTCAATTGGGGTGGGGGGATATAGAATGCACTCTTAATTACTTTGAGATTCACATATGACCTCGTTTGGTTATATCGTAACCTCATTTTGTTATATATATATATATATATATATATATATATCTCATTTGATAATATTGTAGAGTTGTATGTGCATGCCATTGGAAGAAACTGATCATGCATCAGTTTTCTAATAGTCACATAGAGCTTTCCCTCTCCCATCTTTCTGGTCCTTTTCTTGAAGTGATGTTACCAATCTGTGGTGTGTTTGATAATCAATCTATTGAGCAATGATAGGGTCTGCTGAATTTCTATCAAATTTCAAGATGTGAACTTTATTCTTTTTGATAGGGGTGGTGGTACACAAAAGTAGCAATAGCTGGGGCTTGAGAATCACTTTTTTACCAGTAGACTGGCTGTCCCTTTTCTCTGAGCCAGTGAGAAAAATTTGAAGGCATATGTCTTCTGTGAGCATTTTCTATTAGGATGTAACAATACTCTTGGGGATTATGTCTGAGGAGATTTCACACAAAGCCTGCTAAGAAGGCTAAGAAAATGTGAAAGTTGAAAATATTTTCAAGTATGTATTAGAAACAGCCTCAAACCCCTGAGTTTTTTATCAATCACTAAAAGAACCCCTGAATTTTAAGAGCTAGGTTGCCTTATATAAGGCATTGATGTACATTTTAAATTATAGAGGTGTGCACCAAATTTGTACTCTTCCTCCTATAGAAGTGTTTGACAATGAACTAGGAAATCTTGACTTCAAATTCCTTTCAGTCATGAATTGAAACTCCTATGGACCCTTAAGATTGAGGAAGAAATAGAAAGTAGATTATATTGGTCATTTTGTTTTGTGGTTCTGTTTTGTTCCAGGCTAGATCCTGCCATCCTATTTGTCATTTGTAGTGGAATAAACACAAATAACTTATATGTATTGTACCAGTGTGTTATTTGCTCTGGAGATAGCACTGCCTCTCAGAAATTGTACCTATGTACAAATGAGTACCTAAAAGCTCCTAGGCTAATAAAAACATGTCCCCAACTATCTCACCATCTCTTTCCTCAGAGTTGCAAACAAAAAACCAACAGTATTTACCACTGAGCACTCCCTTCAGGAGAGTATGCAGTGACTATAATCAGGGTTTTTTTTGTATTTTTGCTGTTTATTTATTTATTTGCTTTATTGACTTTAAGTGCAATTGCAGTTTTAGGGTGTAACAAGAAGAACCTAGAGAGGTGGTTTGTGAGGAATATTGCTTTTGTTTTTTCAAGTTAGCCAGTGAAGTGTCATGGCCTGGAGTTGAATTGGAGGAAAGCAAGAAGGCTAGAAGGAGGGGAAAAGGGCATAAGGAATATGGAGGCCAAACAGTCAGGAGTCAATCCTGTTTGGAAAGAAATTTGATTAGTGAATGTTGGCTGAAGATAGCACTGCACTGTAGCACTGTCTTCCCATTGCTCATCAGTTTGCTCGAGTGGGCCCAGTAATGTCTCCATTGTGAGAATTGTTGTTACTGTGTTTGGCATATCGAATACATCACAGGTAGATTGCCAGGCTTTGCTGTGCGGGTGATATACTCTCGGTAGCTTGCCGGGCTCTCCAAGAGGGGTGGAGGAATCGAACTCGGGTGGGCCAGGTCGGCAGTGTGCAAGGCAAATGCCCTACCGCTGTGCTATTGCTCCAGCCCAGCTGAAGATAGGAGAGGACTAAATACATGTTAAAATATGGAATGGGTGGCATAAAGTTCCAAGTTTAAATTTTCATATCACTGGATAAATCAAGGAAGAACAAAAATATTCAGAAATGAGATATGATGACAAAGGATAAATGTTTACATATGCAACATAGACAGTTTCTTTTTTCCTTTCATTTGAACCAATGACAATTATTGAGTGATTTCTGTGGTTTTTGTAAACACGATTGAAAGCTACTCTCACAAGATTTTGCTGTGTTTTGTTTGAAATATTTTAAAATAGTCTACAAAGATCTCCATGTTCATCTTGAAAACATAACAATCCTTTCAAAACAGCCATAATCAGGGCAGGAAAAATATTGATGTTTCATTTTCCTTTGTTTTGTTATAGAGTGCACTCCCCCGATTTCATGCAAGCCTCCAGAACCTCCAAAAATAGAAAGGAAATTTCCACCTTATAATGGCTTTGGTTCTGAAGAGGATTCTCTCCGCTCCTGCATAGGCCTTGTTCCTACACCCCATCAGAGGGACTTCAAGAAGTTCATGGAAAGTGACAGGTGTTTGATGGAACCATGATTTTAGTCTGATCTCTCCCAAATGTGTTTAGAGTTTATAATACAGTCCTTATGGCAGAACATGAAATGCTCAGCTGAAGTTATCTCAAGTCCAGAAACAAGTTGTTATAGCTTTTTTAATGGAACTGATTAGCAAGCAGCATTTAAGAAATTCTTACTTGGGTGGTAATTTACCTTTTTGCAATTGTATTGAATTATAATTTACTTGCAACATTAAGTTTAAGGTATATAACAGTAATTTGATATATGCATATTGCAAATTGATCACAATAAGTTAACATCTGCCATCACCCATACTTAGAAATTTTTCCCTTTGTGATGAGATCTTTTAAGACCCACTCTAATAATCAACTTTCAATATAAAGTATAGTATCGTTTATTTATAGGCCTGTTTAAATTTTCCCCTTAAAATTTTCTTAATTCTCTGTATTCTTATGCTTATAGGATTTACCTGTGCCTGCAAAATTTGAAATATGTTAGCACAGAATTATTCGTAATATTATTTTGAAATCATATACCTCTAAAAAAGATACAGTTTGGGGGAAAACATTTTACTTTATTGGCTTATCATTTATTGGGAATAGTTTGGAATTTGAGGAGATTAGCTCTATTCGTCTGCATGTGTGTAGGTGCCACCAACTACACACACACACACACACACACACATACATACACACACACAAAAAAAAAACAAACAGATTCATTGGAAGTGGATGTTTTGTCATAGAACTGAGCTTACATGGAGGGGAGAGTTTGGGAGGAGTCTTTGGGGTAGTGGTGGAGGGAGGCGAACTCTCTGGTAATGAGTGTGGTTTTGGAAAGACTTATGCATTAAAAATACTATTAACAGTATTGTAAATTCTAGTATTTTAATAAAAATGGCTAAAAGAAATGAAAAGATAGTAAATAATATTGTTAACTGTGGACACCAAGTTAAATAAAAGCTTTTAGCTGGAAGCTTGTACTCTTTTCCCCTTTTCACCCATTTATTCAACCCACACTCTTCTGGCAGCTACTGAATTTATCCTCTTATTTCCTGTTTCTTTGACTTTGTTTTATTTTTCAGATTTCACATAAAAAGTGATATCATATGGTATTTGTCTTTTTTTGTCTAATTTATGTCATTTAGTGTTATGGCCTCAAGGATTCATCCATGTTGTTATAAATGGCAGAATTTCATTCATTTTTATGACTGAATAATATTCTATTGAATACACACACATATATATTATTACATACATATCCCATTATGTATTTCAACATCCTGTTCAACTATGGTCTTTCCAATATGCTATAACCTATAACTGTAGCATCTTAATTTTTGTAATTATACTTTATAAAGTTTTCACAATAATAAAATTACCTAATATATTTTCAGTGTATCTCTGCTATTCAAAGATGCATAAATATATGTATTAAATATTATATCTATGTATATAATTATATATATATATAACTTACATTTTTTATCCATTATTATACCAGTGGATACTTTAATTTTGGGGTCTTGGCTACTGGGAATAGAGCTGCAGTGAAAATGAAAGGTTCAGAATCTTTGGCACAGTGTATTTCACTTATTATAGATATATTTCCAGAAATAGAATTCTGGGTCATAAGATAATTCTATTTTTAGTATTTTGAGAAATGCCCCCATACAGTTGTTCATAGCAGATATACCATTTAATACACCCACTAATCATATATATGAGTTCCTTTTCCTTACCAACCTTGCTATTGAATGATTATTTGATCATCTGAAAATCTCTAAAGTCATCTTTTCAATATATATTGTCTTTATATAGAGAGAGTTGATCCTTGGATGATACTGTGAGCTAGGGGCACTGACTTCTGAACAGTGGAAAAAACTGCATATCATTTATTTTTTGCTTTTTGTATGGTAGGTTCCACATTAGGATTCAACCATCCAGAATCTTTTGTTGGTTGAACCCATGAGGATGGAACCTGTGGATAAAATGTCAGTATTTATGGATCCACACAGTTCAGGCCTATGTTGTTCAAGTGCCAACTCCCTTCCAACCCCCACCAACCAACATGCACACTTATTGATGTATTTGTGTGTATATAAAGATGGTCTCTAGGAATTGATGTAGAGTAGGGAGTCAGGATAATTTATTTTTTAGCTTTATTTTTAAGAAACACCTGGTAGTGATTGGGATTATCCAGGCTGTGTGCTCTGGAGTTGCTCCCAGCAGTCCTGGGGGGTGGGGGGACACCATGCAATTCTGGGCATAGAATCTGGGTCTCCTGTGTGCAAAGCACATACTCAGTCCATTGAGCCATCTCTCTGGACCCAACAAACTTTTCAAAAGGGTCTCATATTAAATGTTTTTGGCTTATGGGTCCTATGGCCTCCACCACTTATCTCTGTTCTTGTTGGGTGAAGCAGCCACAGACAGTAGATAAACTAATGTGTAACTACATTCCAGTAAAACTTTGTTTATGGACACCGATATTTAAATTTCCTGTCAGTTTTACATATCACAAAATATTATTGCTTTGATTGCCTTTCAACCTTATAAAAACCATTCTTAGCTCAGAAACAAGTTGCCAGCTGTTTGGTCCACAGCATGTAGTTTGCCTGCTCCTGATCTAGATGCTTTATTGATTTATACATGTTTTAAAGAATGTTATTTGGTAGTTAACATGGATTTTATTTAAGAGGTTTGCTTTAATTTCCATAACCATGCTCTGTAACCACAATTTGTTCATGTGACTAAAATTTCAAAAGTATACTTTCAAAAAGTTTCTAATATATATGAAGAAAACTTCCAGAGCCCTCCTTGTAAAATCCCATTCTTCATTTCCCAGGGCTATTTTTTTGCTTCTGGAGGGAGAGCAGCTCCTAGAGAAAGAGGTTTGGGGTGGGAAGTTGGGAGGAAAAGGTAGCAGGTGCTTGAATAGGATGTAGATTAAGGATGGAAGTCCTGTGTGAGTGAAAGAATAGTTAGGAGAACCTCTGGGGAAATTGGTAAAGAGAACATGTAGTAGGACAAGGAGAAGGAAGAGACCGTGTCCTGACTTAGATAACATTTAATAGGGTCAGATGATTTGTAAGACCTTCAGAATTAGGAAGAACACGGTTTTTCTCTTGTTAAATAAGATATATTAAGAGGCATGTAAAATGTTGGGCTGTAACAGTAGCACAGCGGGTAGGGCATTTGCCTTTCACACGGCCGACCCAGGTTCGATTCCTCCATCCCACTCTGAGAGCCCAGCAAGCTACTGAGAGTATCCTGCCCACATGGCAGAGCCTGGCAAGCTCCCCGTGGCGTATTCAATATGCCAAATAAACAGAAACAACAAGTCTCACAATGGAGATGTTACTAGTGCCTGCTCGAGCAAATCAGTGAACAACAGCAGGATGATAGTGCTACAGTGCTGTGTAAAATGTTATCTTTGCCAGGTCGTGATGTCCTTTGTTTTCCAAGAAATATATTTTTTCATTTTTTTTCAACTTTAATTTTTTTATTGAATCACTATGAGACAGACCCTTACAAAGATGTTCATGGTTAGGTTTCATTCAGTGTTCCAACACCCATCCCTCCAGTGCACATTTCCCAGCACCAATGTCTCTCCAGTTTCCCTCTCATCACCCACCACCACCCCATCTCCTCTCCTCTCCTCTCCTCTCCTCTCCTCTCCTCTCCTCTCTCTCCTCTCCTCTCCTCTCCTCTCCTCTCTCTCCTCTCCTCTCCTCTCCTCTCCTCTCCTCTCCTCTCCTCTCCTCTCCTCTCCTCTCCTCTCCTCTCCTCTCCTCTCCTCTCCTCTCCTCTGTTGCCAGCTGTTTGGTCCACAGCATGTAGTTTGCCGTTTCCCCTCCCCTCCCCTCCCCTCCCCTCTCCTCTCCTCTCTCTCTCTGCCTCCCTCCTTCCCTGGTTTTCCTTTTGGGCACTTTGGTTTGATCAGGAATATCCCTTTGCCTACTTTTTTTTTCTTTTTTTATTAGAGAAACACCATGAGGTACAGTTATAGGCTTACAAATTTTGTGCTTGGGTTTCAGTTATACAATGATCAAGTGCCCATCCCTCCACCAGTGCCCATCATCCATCACCACGGGTCCCAGCATCCCCTCCCACCCCCCATCCCCCGATCCCATCCTGCCTCTTTTAATACTCAGTTCTTGTCCACCTGGGTCGGTCATTCTCAGCTATTATTGTCATACTGGTCTCTTCTCTAGCTTACCTACCCTCCAACCCACACATACTTGTGATTGATTCCAACCACTGACTAGTCCTCTTAGTCCATTTTCCCTGGCTATGAATATTAGTCTTCTATATATTTTTCATATACCACAAATGAATCATTCTGTATCTGTCCCTCTCGTGACTCATTTCACTCAGCATCATACTCTCCGTGTCCATCTGAAAGCAATTTTTTTTATTTTTAAATTATTTATTTATTTATTGAATCACTGTGGGAAAAGTTACAAAGCTTTCAGGTTTAGGTCTCAGTCATGCAAATATCAAACACTTTTCCCTTTACCAAAACTTATTTTTTACCACGAAGAACTCCAATAAAACCCCACCCTCCACCCCTCCCAATGCCTGCGAGGCAGATGAATTCTAGTTAACACTCTATCTGCTTTGATTAGATTCATTGTTTCAATAAAAGATGCACCACTATTATTTAGAGTTTACCACCGCCCCCCCCCCATCAGACATGCTGAAAAAGCATTGTGAAATGATTTGCTTTCTACAGCTGGGCTCAAGGATTAAATGTTGGTTTTAGATTTCCGCTATTTTACTTATTAACCCTGGAAGTATTTCTACTGAGAGTCAGATAATTAAGAGATTGGTTTCTGTGCTCTGGAGTCGTGGCCGTGCCGGAGAGCCACTTGTGGGGGGCAACTGGTAACCTCGGTAGGGTATGAAGGACGGACCGGAATGCCCCCCTTCCCATGAGGTTTTAGTCGCCCCCACACCCCCGGCTCATACCTGCTCTCCACAAGGCTCACATGCGGC